AACAAGAGTCTCACTCTGTCACCCAGAGTGAAGTGCAGTGGCACAACCTCAGCTCACTGCAACCTCTGCCTCCGGGGTTCAAGTGATTCTCCTGCCTCAGCCTCCTGAGTACCTCAGATTATAGGCACCCACCGCCACGCCCGGCTAATTGTATTTTTGGTAAAGATGGGGTCTCACCATGTTTGTCAGGCTGGTCTCGAATCCCTGACCTCACGTGATCTGCCTGCCTCAGCCTCCCAGAGTGCTAGGATTACAGGCATGACCCACCGTGCCCAGCCTCATTAATTTTAATGGCAAAAACTGCAATTACTTTTGCACCAGCCTAATATGAGCTGTAGTACTGTTTTCATGGTTTTGAGTATCCTTCCCATGAGAGGATCATACTTGCCCACTTATTGTTATCAGCCTTGGCCATGAGACTTAATTGGCCAATGAAATGTGAGTTAAAGTAATATATACCACTTCCAAGCAGAAGATTCAAGAACCGTAGTGTGGTTTTGCTGTGTTTTCTTTTCCCTTTATCATGAAACCAGCATGTCCCACGTAGAGGCTATTCTTTCAGTCTTGATCAGAGATAAAGATGATATGGAAAAAAGCTGTAACATTAACCCACCAAGCACATGTAACATGAGCAAGAAATAAACCATTTTTATTAAAAGTCATGAAGATTTGAGGTTTTTTGGTTATTGCAACATAACCTAGTGAAAGCTGACAGTGATCAAACAAATGCAAGTTAAAATACTGACAAGCTATTTCATTTGATTGGTCCAAATTAATAAGTCTGATAACAAGAATCACTGATGACAATATGGCAAAATCAAACTTAATGGTTGCTGGTTGAAATGTAAATTGTAAATTTTATCAATTTCATTTATTACTTTGGCAATATCTGGGGAAACTGAAGAAGTAAAACTGGATTCCATCAATCTAACAATTCCACCACTAGGTATCTACCCTCAAGAAACTCTTACACAAGGAAACATGTCTTAAAATGTTCACTGAAGAACTATTTCTTACAGTATACAAAGAAACTGTGACTTAGGAGGGGAATAAACTAGTTTAGTCAAAGAAATACGATACAACAATTTAAATGAATAGATTTATATATCACAAAAAGATACATGCAGGACTAGAAGGAAAAGATGAGAATGAGACTTTGGCAATGTCTTTAATGTTCTATTTTGTTAAAGATCTAAAACACTGTAATTCCAGCACTTGGGAGGCCAAGGCAGGCGGATCACGAGGTCAGGAGATAGAGACCATCCTGGCCAACATGGTGGAACCCTGTCTCGACTAAAAATACAAAAACTAGCTAGGTGTAGTGGCTCATGCCTGTAATCCCAGCTACTCGGGAGGCTGAGGCAGGAGAATCGCTTGAATGAGAAAGTCAGAGGCTTCAGTGAGCTGAGATCGCACCACTGCACTCCTGCCTGGCGAAAGAGTGAGACTCCATCTCAAAAAAAAAAAAAAAATCTAAAACAAATGGCAAAATGGTAACAACTGATTGAAATTTTTGTGCTGGATACACAATTGTCTCCTCTATTATTTTTATATTTTTGTAGTTTTTTAAACGTTTTATGATTTTTAAAAAAAGAGAACAAAGATAGATTTAAACCATAAAGTATGTTGGTGAGTCTTGTGGTTTAGTGACATAAAGAACTTTAGAAATGAAAAGGCATTCTAGATGATCTAAGCAATCTCTATAGATGAAGAACCTGAGGTCTACAGAGGTTGAGTAAATGACTCAAGGTTACATAACATCAAGTTGGTTCTCAAAAATCTACATCCCCTAATTTCCAGGATAGGTAGGAAAGACAAGGGACATGCAATCAAATATAATGTAATTGAGTCAAGTTCAGAAAACCATTCTGTCCCTTTCTTTATGGTCTCTCACTCCTATCCCCAAGACTTCTCCTCTCTCCCTGGCATAGAGAGGGAGTCTCAGGAAAGGACAAAGGGAAGTGTTAAAAAGAGCAGAAGAAAAGAAAGCTTTAAGGACTGCCGTGGTCTCAATGCATTCCTCCACAATTCACGCTGAAACCTAATCCCTATGGTGGTGGCATTAAGAGGTGGTGTCTTTAGGAAGTGACTTAATCACCCTGCCTTCATGAATGGGGGTAGTGCTCTTGTAACTGAGGCTGAAGGGAGCTGCCTTGTCCTTCGGTCAGGTGAGAACACAGCACTTGCCCTATCCACCATGTAAAGATCAAGAAAGGAGGGGCCATCCTGGAAGCAGAGAGCAAGCTCCTCACCAGACACCAAATTTTCTGGTGTACTGATCTGGGACTTCCCAGCCTCCAGAGCTGTGGGCAATAAATTCATGTTGTTTTTAACTTACCCAGTTGAAGGTATTTTGTTACAATAGCACACACTAAGATAAGGATTTTTAATCTTCTTTTGCTACTCCTTTTCTTTAAACAATTGAAATCAGAAAAATTATAACTAAAATGAGTAAAATAAAATTATAGGTAACTAATACAAAGAGCAAGAATCAAGAATTATTCATATTAGTACCCTCAGCACTTTGCAGTATAATACACATTCAAATATATAATAAACTACTGTTCAACTAGATAGACCTAAGTGTCTTTACGAAGCTGAATACTTTCATTGTTATTGCAGTGTAACTTCTCTTTTTAATAAGAATGCAACGAATTAGGGAAAAATGTGTCTAATATTTAATAGATGAGGACGCAAAAGAAATAGGCAAGATAAGTCCCACATGTACCAGACCAAACAGCATAGTTAGTTCTGTGGTGAGGTTCGTGAGCTCTAGAACCAAACTTCAGGGGGTGGAATCCTTGTTCAACCTCTAACCAGCTGTGAAACTTTGGGCAAGGAATTTAACTTCTCTAAGCCTTAAGTTCCCCATTGTAACATGTAACACTGAAAATAGCAATGATAATATCTACCTTTATTGATTCTTAAATCAACAAAACAAGATAATCCATTAAACAAGATAATCCGTTCAAAGCACTTCACACAGTTCTTCAGTAAACATTAGCTATCAGTATATGTTACGTAAATAATTTGTGGAAAGCAACAAACTCTTCTGATGGATATAAAATTATAAGTTACTAGATGCATTAAAAGATTAAACTGACTTCTGTCAGCAACAGCACTAACTGTATGTTTTGCAAATCACAGGTGTTTTTTAATTAAATGAAACTAAATTAATTAGATGTTAAGCCAGTATCTGTCTCAGGATAAAACACTTGGAGCTAAGTTTACTGCTGAAACTTCTTTATTCCGAAATGTCAGCCTAGTGCTATCATTTTCCCTCAAGAAAAACATCTTCTAGCCAAAAGCAATATTCCAAATATTTAACACCCATTCAGAATACACACCAACCAGTAAACATGACTGGTGCAGACTGGCAGAATAGCATCCCTGCTTAACCTAAGGTCATGAAATATTGTTTGTGACAGAAATGATGACCCACTTCAATGTATTTTTTTTTTTAGTACAAAACTGTAATAAACTGGCTTATAGGAACTTAGTAAAACACAAAAATCTATTCATCATGCCATGTCACAATCCACACATTAAGCTAGCTCTCAGCTCCTTATCTCACCTCCAGGTCACAGCTGTATTCGGTGCCATCTAAGAGGGTCACTTTACACTGGACAGTTTTGGTCTTCTTGGTGACTTTTTGAGATGCCTTCTCTGCTTTCAGTTCATTGGTCTGAACTTCCTTGGTCTCCCTCTTTGCTGCTTCTCCTTCAAATTTGTCTTCCTGTGTTTCCTTTACCTTCTCTTCTCTCTCCTTACTTACTAATTCAGTAGGCTGTTGAGGAAAAAAAATTAAATTGATACTATAGTCAACCAACTTGCAGATGACAACATATTAAAAGGAAAATGTTTCATAAGAATTAGGATCGTTACTTTAAACACTGTAACTCTCAGATTTTTAAAGACTTGAAAATTCCAATAGAAAGTATATTTCCCCTCATCCTCTTCTCATGGTCAAAATTCTCATTTTGCCAAGTTGATTATTTAGCATTAAATGAATCAAAGAAACTACATCCCAGCAACTACAGTTTAAGTATCATCTCAAATAATAACATTTCCAATTAAAATCTTATACCATGGCAAAATCTAGGCTTTGTTAGGCAACCAAAATGCACACATACAAATCTACTACTTACTGTCTGGTGAAAACTTAAAAGAGGCATAAAAGAGCATTCTGTTTAAAAAACAGATGGCAGGGCTCAGAGTATCTATCTCACCTTAACAGGTTACAGACATGAATTTTTTAGCAATGTGCATATATAGTGGAATTTTTTTTCAAGGAGTAACAGGGAAAGGCTATGGTAGACCAATCTAAGACCCATTCCGTATACATTAAGCCAAAGCAGTATCTCAGTACAAGAAATCTGGAAATGATCCAAAACAAACTCTTTTTGTTATGTGGTTATGCTATCAGGTTTTCATTTCCAGTCAATTATTCCCAAACATACCTGCGTCTCCACTTTGCTCACTGAGGGTTTTTCTTCCTTGACTTCAACCTTAATCTCTTGTTGTTTCTTCTGAGCCATTTCTTCAGCATCACCCTTATCCTGTCTCTGTTCTTCCGGAAGGGGTTCCTCTTTCTCTAAGACCTGTTCTTCAACAACAGCTGGGGTGGGTTCTTTTTTATCTCCTCCATCTTTGGCCACTACTAAGGTATATGACTTTTGCTTCTTAAGCCATGGCGGTAAGAACCGAGAAATACCCCTGCTCTCAGATGTTTCCTTCTCTCTCTTCTGGCGGCGTAGACTACTTTGGCTTTCAGCTGCAGGAGCTGGCTGGGAACCTTTTTCCTCCTCTAGATCGGATGACTGATTCTGCTGATTTTCTGCTACTTCTTTAGGCTTTTCCTTGGTTGCATCTGTTCCTAACTGGCCAGAGTCCTTCTTCACTTCAGACGCAGAGCCTACTTCAGTAGTCATGGTCACAGCTTATGCTGTAATCAAAACAAAAATCACAAAATGTCATTTTATAACTTCTCTCAAATTCAGTTTGGTTGCAAGGGGCATGATAAGGAAAGACGGGAAGGGGAGTAACAGATAACTGGGAGAAAGCACATCAAGAAAGAAGATTGAAAAGCCTAAGACAAAATGGAGACTGTTGCTCTACCTTTTTGAATTCTCTATCAGAATCACAGACCCAAAACTAGCATCACAATAGAACTCTGTGTGTTCTAAGTTCTATATAGTTATAAAATCATCAAGAACTCAAGAAACAGGGATTGATTTTATTTGCTTTCAACTTGTTATAAACAATAATTGATTTTTAAAATCCAATTTTTTTAAGAAAAAGTACTTTCATCTGTACTTGGTATTCTTTATTCTGTAACATGAAAACATTATCAACAGTGCTAGTAAGCAATGAGACACATTTCACTACAATTTCATACATTAAACCCAAAATCTATCAAAGTGCTAGGTATTAGAAAAACCAATTTTAAGTGTATGGTGTGTAACAGCAAGAAGGTAAAATCTGGAACAAAAACATATTATTCTGTGTTCCAGTATTAAATCCCGTAATTCACCATCAATGTTCCAATGCAAAAGTTAAATCTTCTGGAAAAGGTACTCAAATTCTAATCAAAACCCCAAACCTCCATCCCACCCAACCGTAATCACACTTTTCTTTGTATATATAAGAAAAATATCTAAGGGCCATAATCCATACCAAATGAAGACATTATGAGGTGGAATAAATGCATCCGACGATTGCTCTTATCATAACTAAATTAGAACAAAATTTAAATTAATTCTGAAAATAACTAAATTTTACATAAGCAAAGAGGGACTTTTAAAGTGTTGCAGCATGATGACATAAAGGACAACAGGCAGGGCCTGCAGAGACAGCTGATCACATTCACTCTCCCCTCCCTTGCCAATAATAAGTGCCCAGAGTCCTGGCACCCTGGACAACGAGCAGTGTCCCAGCTATCTTCAAAGGTGATAAAACCTTAGAGACGGACATGGTGTATTCTAGTAGTCCCAGCTACTTGGGAGTCTGAGACAAGAAACATGCTTGAGCCCAGAGTCTGAGGCCAGCCTGAGAAACAGAGTGAGACCCCATCTCTTAAAAATTTTTTTCTTAACTTTTTAAGTGGTACAAACTTGAATAAGTCAAAAAAAAGTACACTTGTTTTAAAGCTTTATTAAGACATAATTCATGTACCATAAATTTCACCCTCTTAAAGTATACAGTTAGTGATTTTGAGTATACTCACAAGGTTGTGCAACCATCATCACTAATTCTAGAGCATTTTCATCACTCCAGAAAGAAATCCTGTGCCCATTAGTAGTCACTCTGCATTCCCCCTCACCCCCGGCAACCTTATGAATATATCCAAAACCAGCCACTTTAAAAGGGTGAATTTTGTGATATGTAAACTTTCTCAATAAAAATAACTTAAAAATGTTTTTCACATCTAATATGCAACCACAAAAATAGTCAAGTCAATTTGCCTATATTTAATGGCTTCTATGATGTGGTAAGCCATAGGCACATGAATAAAGACAACCTTTGAAGAGCTAAGGGAGTGAGGGCTACAAATAAGCATAGATAAGTCAATAGCATGTTGCACAAAAAGCACAGGACTAGGCCAGGTGCGGTGGCTCATGCCTATAATCCCAGCACTTTGGGAGGCTGAGGAGGGTGGACCACTTGAGGTCAGGAGTTGGAGACCATCCTGGCTTGAACATGGCAAAATCCCATCTCTACTAAAAATACAAAAATTAGCCGAGCGTGGTGGCACGTCTCTGTAATCCCAGCTACTTGGGAGGCTGAGGCAGGAGAATTGCTTGAACCCGGGAGGCAGAGGTTGCAGTGAGCCAAGATTGTGTCACTGCACTCCAGCCTAGACAACAGAGCGAGATCCTGTCTCAAAACAATAACAACAACAACGACAACAACAACAAGCAGCAAAGGACTTAACCCACCAGGTTAGGAGAAGAAAAGGGTCACCAGGCAGGCGTTTCTGCAGAAGTTGACATCTGAGTTTATTTTTTTAAATGGGTACTCATTATTCAGACAAAATAGCCAGAATGGAAGGTATGTGTCAGGCATAGGGAGTTGTGTGGAAACATGAGAACATTCCTCATAAAAAAGGAAACCACAGGCACAGAACAATAATCCTCTGTACAAGCGAAGTGGGGGCTTATGAGTGAAGATAGGACGGGTGGAAGCTGAACTGGTAATAATGAAGTAAGAAAGGAAGGCAGAAGCCAAAACATAAAAGATTTTGTGTTATTTTAAAGCCAATGCGGGGGTTATTTGAAAAGCAATGAGAAGTTACATAAGTGCTTGAAGTAGAGGAGAAATGTAATAAGATTCTCATTTCACTTAGCCCAACTTGGCTGTAAAGTACAGGATGAAAGAAAAAACTGAAGCAGAAAGACATCCAGGAGATTGGGTTGATCCGATCTCTGGTTGATCCAGACCTGAGAAGATGATGGTCTCTACTATGGCAGAAAACAGTAGGGTAAAGGGCAAGATATTAATCTAAAGGTAAAGAAGTAGAGTGGATATGACTTGATATCCAGGCTGAATATAGAAAGTCAAAGAGAGGAAAGAGTCAAGGAAAATGCCCAGGTCATGGAAGACTAGAGCGATGGTAGAAACATTCATGGAAATGGGGAACACCTGTAAAAGTGGCTGACATATATAATTCAATTTTGAATTCACTATGATTGAGAAGTTGTGGAGATGTCTAGATGACCCCGAGACAAGCAGGTTTTGACTGGAGACTAGATACACACTAGAGATAGGGTTTGGACGTTGTCAGCATATGGGTGATAGCAGGAGATACATCACCTAGAGAAAAAGGGTAGCTTAAACTTAGAGGATCCTTAAAAGAGCTCTTATCACCATCAACATGTAAGGTCAGGCAGAAGAAAACGCATGAGGGCCAGGAGAAATACATAGCGGGGCAGGGAGATCAGGGGACAGTAATATCCTTGACAGCAATGCTATGTAAGAGGGAATAGTTAACTATCCCACCTACATATTCTATGCTGCTTCTCATTCTCAGGTATTTGAAATTCAAAAGTATATTTTCCAACAAGACCCGAGGACAGGTAAACCAGCTCCATATTGCACAGAAAACCTTTTTTCCTTCTTTAACGTACTATTTCCCATGTACCATTTAAGTGGACAGTATTATTTACTTTAATCATGAAATAACCAAAGTATATTTCTAGTATATACTCTCTAGCTACATTCTAAGAGCTGAATAAATGTCCTGGTAAAATTAAAACCAAAATGCCCCATACTTGTCTAAGCTAACCAAGGTAAATTGGCAGCTCTCTAATTACTTTGGCTGTGAGAAACAGTCTGGGAACCAATCAGCTAAGGCTGCTTTTTGGCCAAAATATTTTAGAAGCAGTGAAATATAAAATTTGAGTTTCCACTATTATGTTAAAAGCATTAATAGTTGTTTATATTTTAATCATAAGGGTCACTACTCACTGTTTACTGTCTGACACAGTACCCATAATCTGTTTCTCAAAATACTCTACAAAGTATGTATTATCCCTATTTTACAAATAATAAACAGAAGTCACTTATCCAAGGCCACTAATGGAGAACCACCCAGCTGTGTATACCTTCCCTCAAACACATTTCAAATGCAATCACAGTTCCATTATGTGTGAATGACCTGCTCAACCACAGAGTCCTTGGCCTAGTACTCAAAGAAGGCTCCTGCCAGTTAGTGAAAATGACTACAAAATAACAAAAATGTGTTCTCAGATTTATTCAGAATACTCTCTCTTAAAAGTAAGAAATTTATAGATGAATTTAAATCACAAAGAAAATCCCATTTGAACGTTATTGCTTGACCATGTAATCATAACTGAGCCGGTCAACAGAAACTGAAGACAAAGTACAAATACAGACATGAAGAGCACCGACAAAACCATATGGTTAAGCCTCACAAAGTCATCCTCAATCACCACTGTATTCACAACACCTACAAGGGTTAAGAGCCTCAAAAGTGACGATCATTGTCACCCATCCAAATAGAAGTTACAAGACAGAAAACAATGGAAAAGACTAATTGGATCATTACTCAACATATTCTTGAAACAGTTTCAAGAGTTCAACAGAGCTCAAAACAAAACACTACCTTCTTTGTTGATAAAATGGTTTCTTGAACAAATTACCACCATGAAGAAAACATGATTACAGTACATTCACTCACCCTAATTATCATGCCTATAACCCTGAGTTTCTTTCAGATGTGGATAAGCCTTTAAACTCTATCACCCATGAAAATGAGAACTCTTGCAGTGGAATGCTGACATTCCCTCTAAAACGAAAGCTCCATGAGGGCTGGGATCTTTCTTTTATATACTGCTATGTTTCCAGCATCTAGACTGGCACATAATAGGTACCTAATAAGTACTTACTAAATGAGTATTGTTCAGTCATCTAGCCTAATATCCTCACTTTATTTTATCAACAACAAAACTGAGGATCAGAAAGACCAGGAGATTTGCCTGAGATGGTAAAGTCAGATGGGCAAGCCAAAACTGGAACTAAGGTTTCCCAAATTCTGGCAATGCTCATTGACTAATATTTAATTATAATTACCCAAAATCCATCATTAGTATAGTTATATAATACATTAAGTAATGATCTTTCTACTTATCATCAACCAAAAAGAACACTGCTGTGAACAGCCCGCCCATTAGACAAGCATGTGGTTTTGACACAATTACCATGTTGGCATGCTCCATCTGGGTTGATAAAAGTATTCGTTATTTTGACAGCTTCATGAGAAAAAGCATGCATCATTTAACATGCAACGAAGCAGAAAACCATCATCAATAGAGGATCAGTACTGGTTTAGGTAAGGAGCTGTGTTACATAAACCCATTCTTTTTTTTTCCAAAGTTTAAAAAAAGGAGGTACATTTTAACGTGCTATCTCTATCAGTAGGCTGAA